CTGATAGATATTTGCGGGCAAAGGTTTGCCAACGTTGCGTACCAGCTGCTCAAACCTGAAAAGAGTTGTGTTTCAAGGTAACTATCGCGAATTGAGAATCTGCACTCACTTGTTGCTTTTCCCGGAGCTGCTGCCCAGATAGTGCCTGGCCAAATTTTTGAGGCACGTATAATGCTGAATAAGCAGCTTCATCAGTCCATCCATATGATTTCCTAAGGGAATGCACACATTTGTAATTTCCAGCAAGGTGCGTGTTATAAGTATTAGCTGAGCACAAATGGAACCCTCCAATGAGTCTAGATTACCACGCCAATAGATGCGATCGGATTCGGGCACTATGTTGCATTTATAGCTTAAATTGTTCGCTTTGATAACAAAGTATTCCACATCTTCTAACTGCTTCTGGATTGCTGCATATAGATACTGTAAACAAGTGGCTGTTGTGCTCATATTGAGAGACTTTAAGCCCAGGTCGGACTGCTCGGAAACGTTGTCATCGTTTTGCCAGCCCAGTACTTTACCCAGCTGCCTAGCTACTGCGTCGAAGAACGGACCGGAATGCGTCTTCTGTCGCTGAGTAAAGAGCATTCGATGCAACAGGCCCATCTCTGGATTCTGCAGCTCGTACGTTTGACAAAAGTCTAGAAGCCAAGTGTACGAGTCTATTGTTGCACGCTCTCCATAGTTTATATGATCATAAAACAGCTCCAGCGCCTCTAGCAAATAAACAGGCAGCTTGTTGCTACTGCTATCCGTGTTGATATCCTCTTTCATATACTTCACGAGCACATCTTGCAGCACATAAGTGACTTCCTTGCTCTTATTAACAACTGCCATATCTGTGAAACGTTAGACGAAGTTAATAAATACACGAAAATAATTTGTATGCAGCTCATGCTCACCAAAACCTTTAAGGAACTCTTTAAAACGTCTGCCATATGTCTCGTGGGCCGTACGAACGCATTGCATAAAACACTTGGCCGCAAGCACAGCGCTCTCCACATCAAAGTCTTGCCAAAGCTCGGACAGCCGTTGAATACAGCGCTCATATATGACTTTAGTAATGTCTGTCAGCAGCTTTAAAGTGCGCTTGCTGTAGGAGAGCTGCTTATAATCAGGTTCCTCGCGAATCCCTTGCACTTTCTGTGCCGTAATTTCCAGGACGTAACGCACGAGCGGCTCATAGCTGCGCAGAGGAGCGGCGTTTGCTGCACTTGCATAGGGTACATGATCGCTAAATGGAAAAAATAGATATTCAAATATAGATATTAGATATTAGAAATATATACAAAGATGTATGATAACCCACTCATGTAGCACATGCAGTAACTTTTCAATAATAGCCAGATCCCAAATATTTTTCGGCTGTGTGCACATTTGCTTCAACTTGGCTGCATTCACGCTCAGATTAACGGTCGCATTACTATCATTGGGTTTTGCTTGCTTTTGTACTTTCTTTGAAGTGTCTGACAAGGCACCTAGATCCTTAATCAGCCTCTGATGCTGTTTGAATAACGGTAGCAGCTGTCGCAATGCATCGTTGCCTGCTTTAGAACTAAGCAGCGAGTGAGCAATTAAACCTTCAATTAAATTCAGCTGCTGCTGAATCCGAGCACATTTCAAAGGAGTAGCTGGCGGGGCCTAGGGAAAATGAACAGTGGAATACAAGCTTTAAGCATTAAATGATAACAGATACTCACTATGTCTTCTAAAGGTAGTCTATTTGTTACCAAACGCTGCGTGCAAATCGTCAGCAGTCGCTGCATTTCCCTCACATCGCAGCCGAAAGGACCGCGTTCAAAAATGGCTAAGCAATGGGCCACAAACTGCACTAAACATCCTAGATTATCTTTTATATCCAATTGTTCATCCTTAACAATCACTAAACGATCGTAGTTTATAGCAAAGTCGGTGTCCAAATCATCTGCGGACTGATCTGCAGACGGCGTGTCGAAGAATCCACGGAAATGAAAATCGACAAACTGCAGCACATGAGGCACCAACTTGGCATTCAGCTCCACTGCACGCTGAAGATCTGAAAATGAGGAAGGCCGTCATTAAGTGAAGTGTCTCTGCATACCGGCGTCTACTTACTCTCGTAAAGTGTGCATCGTATGCCCAATTGCTGTTCAAAACAGCTGCGCAGTATTCCAATGATCTCCATTGTCAGCATATCGAAATTGCGCTGTGGATTGCTGCGTGTGGCAAATGAGCTTTGAGTCATCATGGAGTACCCAGAAATGCTGTGCTGGGTGCAAAAGCTGCTGGCATTTTGAGACTGTCGAGCCGAGTTACTGTTGTTCAGCTGTTTGAGAATCATGCAATAACCAAAAATAGCCATGCGACGTGTTCTGTAGTCCCTGGAAGCCAACAAATGAATGTACATATAGTGAAATAGTATGTGAATATATTGTATGGAACATACTTGGTCATGGCTTTGCGTAGCACTTCAATCAGCGCATCCCGCACGCGATTTGAAAGCTTTAGCAGCGGCAATATAAAGTTCATCATGCGCATGGATTGCTCCCCGGGTAGCTAAAACAAACAGAAATATTTAGTGTGATAATAGTGCGTAAAAATAAATTGACTGACCCACAGAAAATCTTCCATTACAGTTGTAATTGTTTCCAAACACTCGGAGACAGTGTATGTGTCCGCAACACTTAGCATGGTTAAGCATTCTATAAAGGCTTAAAAATAAGTAAGACATTGTATATATATCAAAAAGTTAGTCACCAGAGAACTGATTCTGCTCCTGATCCACGACCATCCACTCGGCTATACGTTTGATTATTCCCTGGCCAAACATAAAACGTCGTCTTATGAACTTGGTCAAGAACGTAATGGCCAATGTATTCAGCTTAGGTGCATTGTGCGCTTTAAGCAACGTAAAAGCCAAATTAACCAATCCGGGAGTGACTACATCCTTGCCATCTTTATTTTGGTCAATGAGCACTGTAAAAACCTGCAGCATATCTACATGTTTGCGCTGGAGCGTATCTCGGCACCAAACTGAATACTGAGCCAACGTTTGTTCCTCTTCGTTGTTGCGAATGACATTGCGAAGAAAAGGCAACAGTATACAGCTGGAGAAGCGCGCAGATTCTGGATCACGATTAACAGCTGTCATGGAGATGATAGCGCTGAGCATAAATGGAGTTAGAATGACATCAGGCATATGTAGAAAGTTCTAAGTATGGTCACGAATTGGTTAATTTGTGGTATACATGATATAATATGCAGCTTACTCTAAGCATAATCGCTATTTGCTGCTCGCTAAGCAAGTACATAGTGCAATAGTTCAAATGATGTAGCACAGTCTCCTCCGCCTCGCGCAGCTCCTTGTCAGAGTAGGCATCTATAAAAAAGGACTTAGTATAAAGAAAGCGAGAGGAATTATGAATACGCACCGATGCTATCAAAGTCTGTTGAATTGCTGCACATATCCGAAAACAACTGCTTATAATAGTTTTTATGAAAATACTTTTCCAGCGATAATAGAGGGATAATAAGCTGTGCAGCGCTTGTGCACATGGAAAAGAGTTGGTAGCACAGCGCAGGCAGCTCCATGGGTGACAATTCCTGCAGGGCGCCTGCAAACTTATTTAGCACAGTCAAACGCTCACTAGGGCTGAGCTTTAGCATACTGCAAGGCAAAATATTGTAATTATCAAGTTAAGACCAAAAGCAATAGGATAGAAATGATAGAACCAACCAAAACATATCGGCAATGGGCGTCAGAATAGTAATGGGCCAGCGCATAGTGCTCAAATTACGAATAGTGTTATCTCTAAACTCCTGCCCCGTCATGGCGATGTCATTAATAATGAGGCGTGGCTTGACGGAGAGCACGAGCAACGTCTCTGGCAACAAATCTTTCCACGCTACGCACTTGGCATCGCCGGCTCGCATATCATCCATACAGTGCTCGATAATCCAATTCAGCTGATCTGATGTATAGGTGTTTAAGTCCTGACAGAGACGCGTTATCAGGTCCACGCTTAGCTTGTAGCCCATCTCCACAGTGCGCAATCCATCTAAAAAGCAGCGAACACAGGCGAAACGCTTCTCCTGCGTATCGACGCTGTTGCCATCGTAGGCGAGTAGAAGATAATTCCAAAAATTAATGAAATCCTTTTTAGGCAGTCGGGCGTTTAAAACTGCAGTTAGCTGTTGATTTGATAATTAATGGAAGCAACAAATTATCTTTTACGAACTTATTGATATTGAAGACTCCCTTCTTACCTCCTTTACGCTCGTTTTCTTGATCAGCTCACGGAGCTCCTCAATTTGGTTTTTTTCGCCCAATTTACATACACGGACGTGCAAGGTGGCGTTCATGTTGCTTCTTAAGCTCAAATATTTTATTTATGTTGCAGTAAAATTGGTTTTAAATTTAAATTATAGACTTATGTGCAACATTTGGCGCTGTTTTGTATATAGTGGTGGAAGTTTTTTATTACAACTTCCCATTATTGACTGTCGGTGCGCCGCCACAATTAATCGATAGATCGTTTCGCTTTCATGTGTAAATTAGGGTAAGTCTGCTCAGTTAATTCGCCAAGTTAATATATACCTTCAAGTATTCATCGATTATGAAATAAAAAAACCCATTTTTTTTTATAGCTTTGTGTATGTTAGTATATTCAAATGTATGTTCTAAACTGTATTGCTAAGCTATTCCTCTTTATCGGATTATAATTAACAGGCAAACTAAATTGTTTAAATTAAAAAAAGCGTTATCGATGACTCTTATGACTCTATTTAAATTTACCGCCAGTGTCTGCCTTATCAGAAGCTTTAAATGGTCTGCAGTAAATTTATAATGGACATAGAATGATGATCTTTACAATCTCAATTTTCCTATCGATTGAGAGAATTTGAGTTTTAGATATATTTAAATATATTTTTGAATGAAAAGCATATTTACATTATTTACAATTGTGAAAGCAAGATTTGCTAAAAACTAAAAATTTAAAGCTAATTCACACATTTTAAATTTGCTGATTACAATATTTATTGTTAAACTAATTTATAGTGCTATATACATATATCTAGCTACTTCTAGTCGGTTGTTTCCATCTTGAGCACAAACTTCTCCATTATGGCATTGAGACGCTTACGTTCTTTCAGCTGCTGTTGCATTAGATCTGAAATTTGCGTGCCCATTGCCAAAAGAGCTTCTGTATTCGCTTCGGTACGCTGGGCATTCAATCGTGTTTGTCTGTTTAGCTCTCTCAGCTCCTTGGCTATGTCTAGGAGCACGGTAGTGCCACTGAAGCCAGCTCCACTTCCTGATCCATTAAGATTCTCATGGTCGAGTTTTCGCTTCTTGGCTGAGGAATTTTGCTGATGAAGCTGCTGCTCCACCTTGACACCGAGATCACGCACGCTGATAGACTCTGCAGACGCAGCGTCATCATCATCTTCTTGTTCATCGTCCTCTAGAGTTTAATTAGTTTATTTTCTGGCCAATCGTCGAAAGGGAGCCGATCTTACCATTATCGGATGCGTCCTCATCCTGATCTGGTTTGATGTCTTGGAGGCGCAACTTAGCCTTCGGCTGTGACTCAACAATAATGTCTGCCATCTCATACAGATCTGTAATAGTTGCCACGGCATCCTCCAGAGGGGTGAGCGTATCCTGGTACAGAGAACTTTTCCCCGTACCATTTGGCTCCAGCCTGTTATTAGCTATTTTCTTCCGTATGCAGCTTTTCCAATCCTTCCAAACCTACAGATAATTGCATGTCAGTATTCAAGTTAAGTTTATGTGTGCTACCCAACTTACCCGCTTCCATTCGGCGGCCTCTTTAACTGGTGGTCCCACACTGTTTAGCTCCTTGCTTAATCTTTGCCAAGCGGCTTCACTGGCCAATTTGTCGCCTTTGTAGTAGTTTTTGGCTATGATGGGATGTCTTTCCATGAATGCAACGAAGATAGCATCCTGCTGTGCCGTCCTGTGTTTTCCCCTGCAACGTTAAACATAATTTTGTGATTTTGTTTAATAATTTACTCAATTTTATTTACATTTTGCAATATTGATTATTTTCTTGCACTGTCAAATGGTATCTAAATTGTTTGATAGTAAATATATCGATAGATTTTATTTTATAAGCGTGTGGAGCAGGCGTAAGGCAGCCCTGGAAAGTTTTAGCGCGCACTTTGAAAATCCATAAAATGAGTAGATAGATATTTTGTTTCTAAATACTCGATAAGTGTTCATCAAAATACGAAAGATGACCTATATTAAGTTTAATTGGCGAGAAATGTTTTAATATTAAAAATTACACAATTATACTCAAAGCATACACAAACACATGTATATAATTCATTATTTTTGTTAATGTTTTGCACAACATTCGCTGCTTTGTGCATTATTCACTCCGTCCAAATGTCTGAAATCTTATCAGTAATATTTGTAGTGAGGGAAATAAAGATAAGCACTTTGCGGAGATTACAACACTCGTCGTCGCTTTTCCTCGTATGGGTTAGGCACCTGTGCGGCCAAAACCGAGCAATCAGTACGAATAGTTTAACAGGTGGAATAAGGTAAAACCGAAAAGCACTTCTCCGGTTGTGCAAAAAAANAATATATATATAAGAACAACTATAAGTCCAAATTTGTGAGCCAATATATTGTGTAAAATAATGAAAATACGTCTTTCTTTTAAAATTAAATAAGTGAAAAAACTTCTACAAATTTACCCGCATAAAAAACGCCCCATTTTAAAAAACTGTTTTAAACTAAGCAATTAAATGTTATCTTATCTTATGAAAAATCGCAGTTGGGTGTAGTATAAAAATTATGTGTATATACATAAATGTGTGTTCATACCAACTATTATCTGGAACTTGTGCAATAGGCAGTTCCGTTACAAGGCCCATGGTTTTGGTATTCCAGCTGACTCACGCGCTTGTAGCGATACTCGGGGCATTATACGAATAGCTGAGCGAGTTTTTACCATAAAACCAACCAACTAACTGTGCCAATCTATGGCATTACGAATAAATTCTTTCTGTGCAACTGATAATAAATTGATAACAGATATTGTGTGTGCCTATGTGTGTATATAAACGGCATATCAAGGCGTTTTGACTCATGCCCTTATAGTGTTTTATAATATGAATTTTATATTTCTGTCGATAAAAAGTATATTACTGTGCGTCAGACATGACATCAGCTTCCTTTTATATAGAAGGAATATATAGCAAAATATATATATTCTACTTTTACTGACATTTCCCTGCTTGGATTGATGTAGAATCCACAAAGTTGACAAAGCCTCGTAAATTTCGATTTTAACAGGAAGTGACACATCAATGAAAGATATCATTTACCGATTAGCAATCCTGCCTCGACTGGATTATTTCATATAAGAAACTGTTTTGGATTCAATTCAGGGGCACTCACTCTTTTAAGCTGAACTAACTAATTTATGATTATCCACATATACCAAAGAGCTTTACATAATTTCCAATTATTATCAAGTTCTACACTCGAGAACTTTAAAATATTCTCAGTCATTTTCAAAGATTCTTCTTTACTCAGATATCTCCAGTCGGAGTGGGGCTATCACAAGTGACACTAATGAATTTACTCAGATAAAAAAGTAATGATCAGATCTGATCAATATTCTTGCACCTGCAACCGAACGGCGCACCAACTCAGACAACTGAAAACCCGAAAAGCCGTTGACTGTGTGTAAATGTTTGCATTGTGATAAGGATAACAAAGTTTACACTTGCGCGTAAATCAAACACGAGTAATTGTTGGCTGGAACTGGGGCTGGGGTTGGGGCTGGGGCTGGCGATAAGGCCCAGCCTGTACGCAGTGGATACAATGGGCGAGAGCTCTTATCTGTGTGGGGACAGGCATAAGCCATTCGGACGCTGACTCAACGTGGCTTGAAGCATTTATTATAGTATTTTTTTTTTTTTTTTGGGCCACGGCCAGTTCGATAAGTGATATATCGTTTTGTAACTAAACGTGGACAGAATCTCGAACAGAAGCTAGAGAACGATAGTTCGCACTAACCTGCCCGAACGTGTTCTAAATGCTTGATTTATACTCAAATTTCTACAATTTCAGGCAATACCGCCAGGCTGTGATTTATACTCTCTCTATTCAAAAATAAGGGGTATACATCTCACTTATTCCAACCTACCTGTTTTAATTGAAATTTTTAACATTAACCTACTTTCAGCTGCCCCTTAACGAACCCATTTGATAAACGAAACTAAGAAGGAGCCACGGCATGCTAGTTGCACAATTCAAGGCAGCCGCTGTCTGCCTCTGCCTGGGGTTCCTCATGGCTATTGGCTCAGTGCAAGCACAGGAGAATGCCCAACTACAGATCCCACCCTCACTGATCGAATGTTATAATACGTCGTATTTCATGAACCGAGACAATCGCCTACCATCCAACATGGACACTTTGATCTCGCTCATTGAAAAGGTCGAGCAGAGCTATACGGCAACGGGGTATCAGGTGGATATTCGCACCCTAGCCGTTGCTCTGCTGCATCGTTTCCGCCAGGACGGCATCAGACGAGCACCGGGTGTTACTCCCGTGAGTGGGGTGATACCCTACAGTCCAACGGGCTTCCAGTTTCCCAAACTACGAATTTTGCTATCTAGCCTGCTGCCCGGCAATGCTAACAACTTTCCAAACAGCTCGCTTACCAGCACGGAGCGCTGTTCCCTGCACTTCATGCTCTCCAGTACCTTCGATACGAGGCAGCGAGGCGATGAGAACACCGTGTGCGGACAGCTCTCCCAGTATCGCGCTCAGCGTTTGCCGCGTGCTCTCAAAAAAGATGCCAGCAGCAATTTCCTAGGGGATGCCGAGTGGCTAGATATCAAGCCAAAGCGTACGCGTTCTGGTTCCAACTATGTGCAGATGGGCGAGCTGGACTACGAAACGGATTGGGCCTATGCGGGTACCGAGGGTCAAAGCCAGTGTCCTGTGGAAGATGGAGTCGTGCGCACGCCATGGGGCACCGTCTCTGCGGGCAGTCTAATAGCAGGTGTCGCAACTGGATTGCAGCAGCAAAATGTCCCGGTGAATACGCTGCTGCAACTCGCCAGACGTGGCCGCACTCAGTCTCAAACGGGTACCTCCTACGTGGACAATCGCTGGGCAGCCACGCTTGCCGGCGATCTGGCAGAGGTGACGCTCGTCCAAGTGCCAGTTTCCCCTAATAATGCGGCCACTGTGGGCGCCACAGGTGGTTGGAATGATACAGTGCTACCGCACTGGTATTTCCTGTCGCAGCGCAACAATTTGGAAGCAACTGATGCCGAGATTCGTGGCGGTCTAGACGGCCTCATCATAGCCAAGAACATTAACAGTTGGCGCACCCAGGCGTCGAGCTTGAAGCTCTCGCAGTTGCTGCGCATGTACTACTCCTCGACTGGTGTGCTGAGCTCTGGTATTCAGGCCTGCAGTCGCCAGCAGCAGTTCCCCAATGTGGCGCCCACAGCTGAAATGCAGGCACAGACGAGCGCCTTTGCCCAGGTGCTCGATAAGGGAATGCAGCTGCGTGTCACCATTCAGCCGCCAGCGATTGCGGAGTTCGCTCAAACGGCGGCCCTCTCGCTTGTCACCTATGTGCGTAAGTAGCATTTACTTTTATATCTATATGTCGTCGAACCACTTGGGAAAACTAGACTTTGCCTTAGGACGTCATTTCAGTTTCCTTCCCAACTTCCGAAAATCAATGCTCAGCTCCTTGAACTTATTTTCAAGCTGTTCCTAAAGTATTTAGCTTCAGCTCTAGATTTAGTAATAATTTAGACACTGTTTAGCTTTCCTCCAGTCTTCCTCAGCTACTCTGATATTCTCCTCCTTTTGCGCCTTACCCGCAACACCAGCACTCTCTTTTACATTTTATATTATCCACGCACAGCTCAATCTTTGAACGATGTCTCCTGTACGGCCAGCAACACTCAGGATCTGTCGGATATTATCACACCCATGACGAATTTGTTTGTATTCCTGGATACTACCTGGCAGTACAGTGCTATTGCGGATTACGTAGCGTAAGCATTGTGGATAGCTCCCTCCAGCACAAGTTCTCATTTGTCTTCTCTTTCCCCAGATACGTTCTGCAGCAGCTGAACATACATCCCTATGCCAGTTCTGTGACCTTGTTATCTGCTTTTGATGGCTCGATCATAGTGAACACCACGAACTATGTGACTGATGTTTACCAACAATGGAATGCCACCGTACAGTCGAATCGTGAGTTTGCAATTCACTTGAGTCCCCAGATCAAACCTAACAGGAATATTTTAATTGCAGTACAACAAGGCTTCAATCTACCGAATGTTCTACGCACGATTCAAAACCTAACCCAAACGCTTTTGAATGGCGAGCAGACCAACTCGAGTGTTGGCGGTCGCTCCCTGGTGGCACTGATAATACCGAATCAAGCGAACGTGAACGACGGCGATTCGAACTACGCGACAACTGAGCTGCAGTACATATACGAGCAGATCCCCGATCTGCGCTTCATCTACTATGGTGGTGGTAATATTCAGCGCTTCTCCAACTTTGTGCGGGACCCGACGAAGGATCTGTTCTCTCTGATGACGGGCAGCACCGTGGCCGCATCAGCTGGACCCGTGGCCAGGCGTATAGTGAAGAGTAAGTGTTCGGCCCTTGAGATTGCTTTCAATCCGATGCTAATATTTAAGTTATACTCTTTTGCAGTACCTCGTCGCATTATCAACCCGCGATGTGGCGCTATGTGGTATACCACAAGCTGGGGCACTGACCAGATGTACCAATACGTGCGTCCCGGTAAAATTAACTTTTATCGCGTTGCATCCAACTATTTCTTCGGTGCAGGCACCAACCGTGTGGTGACCATTCAGTCCCAGAACGGAGGCGCCTTTACCATCTGTTCGTCGCGCACCTACGAGTGGCCACAGCAGAACTCCAGCACTTCCACCAACAATGGCGTGGATCAGAGCTGTGTGCAGATCAACGGCAATAGCTACTCGTATGATTTGTCGAATGCCTGCGGTGGCTACTACACAATCACACAGTGTCCACCTCTCTATTTGTCTGTCCAGCCGGGCTCTCTGAATACTACGTCCTGTACGCAGGATGCCTGCCAGACGCCAGATGAATGGCGCTACATCGTCGCCTCGGTCAACATGGGCTGCTACAGCGGCGTCTCCGGCCTGGCTGCGAGTCTGTTAACCATTTTGTTGGCACTGCTGTTGCAGCGCTCTCTGCAGTAGTAGCACGCATAGTTGCCCCCATAAAAGTTCAAATTACTACACAACACATCTGTATGTATGGCCCACCATAACCCTCCCTTATAATCATAATTTTTTTATTTAAGTTATAAGTTCCAGTGAGAAATTCGCAAATAAAGTCCACCCACTAGAACTAAAGAGTCTGTTTTAATTTCCGTTTTAGACGTATCCCAAGTGGTTCTATGCTTATTGAATATCTTATCTGAATTATATTATTTATCATATTCACCCATATTATATTGTTATAGCAATCATGGACAGCTTTCAGTTCGAACAGTCGTCCGATATCTCCAATATGACCACGATAAAGACAAACGTCTTTGTATTTGTGGATACCAATTGGCCGTACTTTTGGATAGTCGACTATGTAGCGTAAGTATCACGTTCTATATTGATTGACTGATGAATTCCAAACCGTGAGAGCTAATGGCTAGTTATAGTACGGCTAACTGATTGTTCAAATTGTTTCATTTTATCAAGAGCTACCTATTATTGCAAAATATTTGATTGATGAGATGAACAAAGTATTAGATAACTAATATGTTGTGGAGAATGTTTGAATAAGGGATTGCTAACTCAGCGTAAGTTAAAACTGATACTGAGGATGCTGAAAGTTTCAAAGCGTTTACCAACTAGTCATTTGATCGAGTGATTGATCAATTTATGCTATATATAGACAGCAAGAATTTCAAGCAATGAAATATTAGTTACTCCCTTGATTCTTAAAATAATTTCCCCTCAGTTACGTGTTGCAGAACCTGAACATACATCCATATGCAAGCACAGTAACACTGTTTGCTGCTTCCGATGCTTCAGTTATAGTGAATACAACCGACTATATTGTAGACGTGTACCAGCAATGGAACTTTACGACGCACTACTGGCGTAAGCAATTCTACTTAATCAACCTTTAGCAGACCCAAAGCTCAGTCTTACAATTATGAATAGACCCAGCCGGCTTCAATCTACCCCTTATTCTAAACACCGTCAGCAGCCGCGTAGACGAGTTGTTGGCAGCAGAGCGAGCCACTGATTACCTGGGCGGACGTTCTCTGGTGGCGCTGCTCGTGCCCAGTCCCACGTCGTTTGTGGATGAGAACGACTACGACTACTGTGTGCGCTATATGAAGCGGCTGCGCTATAGTTTGCCACATGTGGAGTTCATTTATTATGGAGGAGGTGCTTTGGTCAGGTTTCACGACTTTGTGCGGCAGCCCAAGAGAGATTTGCTTCTGCTGAACATGAACAAGCCACCGGAAGAATGTGGAGCGCCAGTCATTCAGCGTATACGACAAGGTAAGTAGTGCATAAGATGCATTCATATTAACTTTTTGTAATTTTCATGTGATTCAGTTCCACGTCGCATCTGGAATCCACGCTGCTCTTCAAACGGGGCCATTACTGAGTATGGCCTTAACTCCTTGGAGCAGTACGGACGTCTCAATACCATAAATTTTTACCGGCTGGATGCTCTCTACATTCCCAACAGGCAGAGCATGCGATATCTTAAGATCGCACCCATCAGTCAGATCACTTTTACCGTCTGCTTCTCGCGCAGCATCGAGTTGCCTTTTCGCAACGCAAGCCATCCGCTGCGGCAGGACGAGAGCTGTGAGAGCACGGCCTTGGGCTCGTTTAGCTATGATTTGACGGACGCCTGTGTGGGCTACGACTATGAGCCTTGTCCTCCGCTGTTCTTCTCAGTGCAGGCGCAGGGCTTTGGTCATATTTCGTGTGATCAAGCCGCGTGCCAAACGCCTGATGAAGCGCAATATGTTATAAGTCTGAATAACCTCGGCTGCAATGGAGCATTGTCAGTGCATTTGATAACAGGATTACTTGTATTGACAGCTCTCTGTAGTATTTTAGTATTTTAGTGCATGCATCTACAAAAGTACAAATATTTAGGGATAAAATAAAAAATGCTGCTTCCAAGTGCCTAATTGAATAATCACTATAAATTCTTAAAAAATACGGTGTATTCAATTTAAATTTAAAATTTTACGCCAAATGATCCAGGGCTACCATAAGAGGGCTATTAAAATATCATACCCAAGGATATTTTCAGGAAGTACCTCAGAGACACGCGGTAAATATATTTAAGGATATTTACGCCAAAGAATCGAGGACTGCAGCATAGCAGAAAACGCGGATTGACATCAGGCAATTCTGTTTGAAGTGCCCACGCTAAACGCTCGCGAGGAAATTTTTGTTATATTTTTGGTTTTGCACAAAATTAAACTTGTGATTATCGATTATTTATCAATATTATAGACTATTGGAAAGTCACCATTTACAATGAATGAATTAATCTCGTATAAATTTTAAAATGTTGCACCAAACTAGTCAGGGCTATCAATATAATCAATAAAACAACATTAGGCGGTGTCCATGCTAATAATTCAATAAAACTACATTAAAAATACCCGATAAGAAATTTCCTTTACTTTTTAAACGCAAGGGGGCTGACTGTTTCGGTTTTATAAATATTCGTTACTCAAGGTAATTATGGACACAAACGCTCCTAGCGTTTCCGTTAGGAAATTATCTTCGTTTTCTAGCCGCGAAATGTACCTATGTCACACGAGAGGTACAACATTGGACGCTCCCTGGCGCTTATTTAATAGAACGCAAAAGCGCCATCTAGCGCTTTAACTTGGGTTTAGCTGAGTATGCAACCTCAAATATAACGCCCCCTAGGGTAATAGCATATGTGTAGTTTTCTGTTCTACTTCAAGAACAGCGCCACCTAGGGAAATATTTTTATAGTTTCATCAGCAATCTCAATTACTGCGCCACCTAGGGTTATACCAATTCCATAGATATGTGACACCATTTATGTTCATTACACGGATATACATATAACAGCAAGTGACGCAACCCAGCTCTGCTGATGGACATCAACAGGTGGTGTGGTATGCATTATAATTAGAAATGTTCGTAGACAAAGCGCCACCTATGAGTGCTCTGCAAATTAGTTAAATTTTGTATGTCTAACATTTTCATCAAAAATGTTACAGAACATTCTGCTACTGTTACGACAACATCAGTTTGCTCAAACAATATAAATGATTAATAATTGGTTTAATTTATTTATATAATATAAAAACAGTTAAATAATCAAATTGTCAATTTGTCGCTTTTGCCTTAATTAGTGCAGAAAGGGGGAGTGGTAAGAGTCTAAATGTTTTATCATTCGACTTACTCAACACATCATCAGGTATTATCGGTGGGGGAGTCGGGGCAGACACGAGCCAAGCCGCGAATCGCCGGCTGCAACCGCGTATTTGCTCAGCGTCGTGTCAACAGAAGTGTTCGCTCTTCTGTCTGCGCTGATTTCGCAATCCCATTTTCATTTTCTTGTCTTTCTTTTTTTGTTATTTTTTTGTTTCACACTTTATGCATGAATTAATGTTTAATGCACAAGGTGCCGGCACAATAAAAGGGGGCAGAGCATAGCAAAGAGATAAGGATAGATTGTCTCTAAAAACAATGTCTGAAACTCACTTTAATTTGGCAAATGTCAAAATATGCCAAAGCACCAACAAGACAGAAAAAAGTCACACAGAACTCCCAACCGAGTCATCCTCTAGCAATAGCTCGTCGCTTCTCCTCCCCGCCACCTCTAACGGCTCCTTCCATGTTGCTTGTAACATTTTTTAATAATCTAAAAATCTTCTGAATACTAACCTAACACCCTAAACACACGAGAGCTGCTGCCCAAATATATAAAAATATTGCTTTACGGCACCAAACAAAAGTTCATCAATTTTCTTTTTTCACATTTCACAATTCACATTCGAATCGGCTGACAACCCCCGAGAAGTAGGCAGCGATTTCCTGTTGCTCTTTGTGCTCGCTCGAGAATCGAGAAACAGTATATACGCTTCTCACGCGAAACTTGGAATATATACAAACTAAATAGAATACCAAAGTTCTATACACATTATTTTCAGAGTCTCTCTTGGCCAGCAGCTCTGCAGAGCAAGGTAGCTTCTCATGCTGCTTCAGTCAATTGTAAATTAAGCAGCTGGGCGAGTATTGCGAAGTCAGTTTTGTTCGACTCGAAGGTACTTTTAGGGTTTCGTTTTCCTGCGGCAATCCAAATTTAAGCCAAGAAGCGTTTTGACGAGATGTAACTTGTCATCAGATTCGAACGGTATTAAGTGATTTTATTTATTTGGACATTATTACATTATAATGAAAGAGCTGAGTGAATATAGTTAATATAACTATATTTATAAAGATGCCAATTAGTAATGCAGTTCAAGTATTTTCTGGGTTGGCTTTGGGACTTTGGTTCTAAACTATTTGTGAAGCCCATTCGTCAAGAAGAAACGGATTGTCCTTAACCGAAGTGATAGAAATATAGAGCTATCCATGTTTTACTTTCTTTCCTTTCCGTTGGCTTGCGTCCATTGTCCAATATAAGTGCATGGGGCCTTAGGCCCAGCGGTCAATTTGATCCCTGGGTGGCTTGATGAAAGTGAGTGAGCCAAAGTGGTGCACCCATTTGTAAAAGGCTGCAAACTCGAACAAAATGAATGTGGTGGTCATGGCGACTATATAGAAGAAGAGCGACAGGCGGAGCTCATGCGAGCTCATCGACACGTGAAACAGGACACCAAAAAAGAGGACCAGAAAGAATATATAACAATTCTGCAATTTGGCGGTGAACACGAACTGAAAGAGAGGGAGGAGAAATCAAAGAGGAAAAAGTGGAGAGTGAATAGAGCGAGAGAGAAGAGAGGTGAGCAAAGAGGGATCGGAATCAACTCACATAGCTATCGGACGTATAGCAGTGGTGAAGGACGAGCAAGGGTAGAGTCATGTATATGTTGTGGGTGACCACGCCCAAGACTGCWCCGAAAGCTGCGTCCTGTAGATTACGYTCGGTCAGGTTGTGGAGCAGCACGATGAGCCATAAAACCTCGCCAGTGCTGAAGAACAGGATGCACACCGTCTCGCCCAAAAACTCGAAGCGCATGGTCATGTACTGCCAGGTGAGGTTGTTGATCTCGTCTGAGAGCTGAAACAAGATGTTGTTGCTGTTGATCGCGCCAAGGGCGGAGTAGACGCAGATCAGGAAACGGCCCGGTTGTCGCCGCGGGTGGAATGCGACCAGCACGACCACCGCAATGAACCAGGTGATGCCCCACAGCACAAGGAACGCCGTGGTATCGGTCCCCATTTTGATCAGCAAAAAAGGAGCGACCAAAAAGCCAAATATATTGATAATCTTGCACCAGCCAAACATGGGGCGATCCCTGCTCATTACGGGTATTACGTTGGCCAGCAGGAAGTAGCCGGGAACCTGGTCAAATAGGCGAGTTTATCGGCAAAGTGCCCACGTGGGAGGGCWTCCCCTCTCCTTAACGTGACTTACAAATAGGATAGTCAAGGCTTTATACCGCTCCGTCATGTTTGCATAGCCGTTCACAGAGCTCCACCAGATCCGAAATGCGCTGAGCTCCTCGTATATGGGAGTTTGTTTCTCCATGTCCGTATCGCTGGACACCTGAGCTACCTCTGCATCCACACTCGCTGCCTCAGTAGATGATAGACTCGCCCGGTTTTGGTTGTGGTACGAGAGGAGCAGGGCCAAGCTGAGAATGAGCAGAAACAGAGACAGAAACGTATTGGCATTGAAGGTCAGCGCAGCGGCGTCGCTATAGAGGAGATTGGGTGCGCCAAACGCTCTGTACTTCAGGTCCACCACAAAGGTCATGTAGATGTAGCCAATTAGGATGATGCTCATATTGGTCCACCAGAGCATGCCATTCACTTGGTAGCCGCGGTTGCACAGCATCATGATCCCTGCGACAAAGAAGCGAAGGTTGTCGCCCATCATTTTGCTAAACGTCAATGTGCCCTCTGCATTTTTGTGGTACGAGCAGTTCATCACAAAGTCTATGTAGTCGGGCAGCAATAGATAGAGCCCGATGAACACATAGCCATATGTGTACTCGGATACGGGCAGCAGTTCCAGCAGGGTCACATAGTTGGGCACGCAGCTAGTCGCGAGACTTGAATATAAATATATTCACGAATCCATGTGCATACTCACAAATACTTTGTTATCATGTACACGGAATAAAAAAGGGCCAGGTAAACAATGCCCAACAGGAAGATAACGCTAGTGTCCCAGCTCAAGTGGAAGGTGCAGAAGTAGAGCTGCAGTAGGTTTACAGTCTCCACGTAATAGGAGCAGCTCGCTTTTCCTCTGACGAACTCGCACATCTCGCGGCTGCTGGCSGWCATTGCATCGTGGCGGTAGCAATGGCTCTGAGTACGATTAGGAAAGCAATGAACATGTACGTATATTTGCACATTAATGTAGCGCGACAGGCGTGCTCATCTCAGTATCTGGAATAGCTCACGTCATTCCAAGTGTGCACAAAGTTTATGGTACGTCGCACCCGGTTCAGCGTCTCATTTGCACTTGAATTCTCTGCACGCTCACTGAGCTCCAGGTCAAACATTGTTCAATCCAATTTGGCGTGTTTAGTGAATATTTCCTATGTGGTTCGTGTATGTTGTATGTGTGACTGATTGTTACCATTTTTTGCAGGAGATTTGCTGAAAATCGGAAAATTCAAATATGGCTCACAGCACTCTGCGATTATTATTACTAAATATACATATATATATTTGTTACTGTAATTGTAATATAAATAAAATGAGGGAAATCAGAGAATTCCTTTATAAGCATTTCAATTTATTCGCATTCGTTTTAAACAAATCGCAGTAAAAGAATCTTAGCTGCGTTTTATTTAGTTGCTGTAATAGTATCTAACTGTTCTTGTCCGATTTTCTCACCCATTATTATTATTATTTTTGTTGTAATATTCCTAATATTCCGCAACTGGCAAAGTGCAGCATTCGTCATTCAACTTTTCCATCTCTAATGCTCTCTTTTACTTATATCGTATATCGTTCTATGCCTCCTGCTATTCAATCAACATKWTTTCCTTCAGCTCTTCTCTGCTATGTACTGTAGTTTCCATAATTTGGATTCAATTCTCACATTTCTCATGCAACTGCATGTTTGTGGTCTTCTTTAAAGTTCACACTTTTCATTTGCCTACTCCGCTCTGGCGTTTTTCGTTCGTCCACTTTTCTGGCTGCCCAAACTGCAGCCGCAAACAACAAATTCACAGTTTACGTGCCCTTAATTAGCAACGAGCATGAAAAAGGATTCAAAACGCAGCGAGTAAAAATAAGTGAAATCTAAAACTCGCTAAATATAATATGCGCTGGAATAAAAAAACGCAAAACTAAAAAAAAAAAATAAATATAAATATATTCAAGTAACAAAGCTAAAGCTGAATACAAAATGAAAAGTTTTTTATTTAAATTTCATTTTTTTCATTACTATTATGAAATTGAGTTTACTGCAGAGATTTTCGTGCGTCTCTCAAGTATTAGAGCACTTTTTCTACGCTTTTTCTACCCCCTGTAAACGGAGAAGAAGGGGCATATTGCTCTTGTGCAGTTGGACAGAGGAAGCTGAATCGAAATGAACCCACTATGAGTTGCATTATAATTAAGAGGTGTGCCAACGGCTCTCTACAGGGTATCTGCCAGTCACTCAACAACACAATTTTCCGTTATTTACTATTATTTTGTTATTTTGTTGCTGCTTTTTCGACAGCTCCTGTAACGTTTGCGTTTCGCTGATTTCTCTACGAGCTCTGCCCAAATGATGCTTCAACTTTGTTGCCAGCTCGCTGGCTTTTCCGACTTTGAGGGCTGATCACAGCAGGGGCGAGGGGCCGGGCGAGAGACCCCTTCCTGCTCTTCTATATTCATCAGCAGCCATTCTTAAACCGGTTGTCCGGTTGTCCATTGTCCACTTACGCCAGTGCTGAAAACATGTGTAAACAATCGACTTACGGCGGCTGACCACCAACCGCGGTGTCGGGCAATCAAATGACCACTTGAATGCCTTTATCCTCCGTCCTTCGTCCTGCATCCTGTGAGTGATTATTTAAAGCCCATTCGGCCTGCTCGATCAATTTGTAAATGAGCCTCGTCCAATTTAACGCAACATTAAAACTGACCTTAGGTCATTTGTGACTCTACTTCCACAGCCAGCCAACCGGTTTGCTTAACCCTAGAGGGAACATATACATATTTACATGACTGTGTCCTGGCTCGCTCCTCTGGTGCTGCAGTGCCACCACCAAGCAGGACACGCGCCTGCAGTCAGCCACTGGCGCTTGTCCCTTGCCCCTGGACCGGGGTCAGCGTATTTGTTGCCAATTGGTTGCATGACATTTTCATTTACTTCGAGTTCTCATTTGTCCACGACTGTGGCCTGCCCTCTCCATTGCCCTCGCAGGAGGGGCAAATGCAGCGCTTGGCGTGTGCAGCACCCGAGGGAATATGAGTTGTGTTTGGCCGTGTTCAGGGTGCTGAATGAATGCATTTGCAGAAGAGAACAACAGCGTCAGGCGATTGTGGATGAAAGTCACATTTAAGTGCTTGAATAGATATAGAAATAATAAGAATAGACTTCTGGCTGGGTGTTTAAGGAGAGCATTATGAGGTAAGAAATTAAGACGTTAGATTATTAATTTAACTAAAATGATTATTGTAAATATACATATAATATGAATAACTGCAGATAAATCCATTGATTACAGAACGTACTATTTATTTTGTTTATTTCTTTAATTCTACATAATTATCTGAAGCAAAAGTTTTAATTAATTAATTTGTATAATAATTTAACATTTTAGGCATTTGAATTCAGATGGTAGATTAGTTTCCTCAGTACGTCTTGGTAAGTCGCCCCTTCACTGGGCTAATTATGAAGAAATACATTGCTATTCTACACTCCACTACAAGAATTAAAATGTCTGAGATGTCTCCCGTTATACTTCTTAAGGCTTCACAGCGCAGTTTCTCACAGTTGTCACACATGAGCCCGTTCCATGCAAAGGCAGTGTTGGGCTTCTCTTAATCGTCGGTTGAAAAGTCTTGCGGCTAAATTACGAGCACTTACTTAAGCAGGCAACTTTTCTGCATGCAGGACGGGCGGGCAGGAGCATTGTGTCTGCAAGATGTGTTTTGTGGCAGACGCGTTAACAACATTGCTTTTCATATCTGCCACGCGTAGCGGCCTCCGCTCATGCTGCGCGTCTGGAGTTTACACAATTTCTTTTTTATTTTGTTGGCCCAACAGATTTCAGATTTTTCAGATAGGAGCGCCCCACCTGCCTCACTGCGCTGGCAGCTCGTAAAGGCGCCACGCCAAAAGGTATGGCGATGGCTTTTTAATCGAGCGCAACATTTATTGCCACATTACGTATACGTACACGTAACACAAGGCTTAGCTGAATGGAAAAGTTTGACGAGCAGCGAGTCGCGTCGAGCCGTATGTTTACATTACTTATCTCCTTTCGCTCCCTCTTTCTATGTCTCTCTTCGTCTCTCTCCTTCTTGGGAAAGCTGCAAAAATTGCTCAGAGTTATTTTTCTTGCGATTAACTTACATCCGCGTGCAAATTTTGGAGTTGAGCTGCTTTTCTGCGCTGATGGAAAGTAGACTTATCGATGCTTGAATAGAGATTATATAGTTAGTGAAGGGAATTAATATTTTCCATACTTCCAACAGCTGTTAGCTAATAATGGTTGCCTAGTATTTTTTTGTTTTTTAATATTGTCTGTTTGGAGAATGTTTGAATCGTAACTGTAGATCTTGAAGAATATTTCTTATATTTTTAAATCTAACAGCTTGTTCGTCTTTCGGTGCTTCCTTTTGTCAGATGTGAATGTGTATCATGTTACCCGACTGCCCACTTGACTGTCAGCCTTTGAACAAACAAACTTAATCAAATCTGAGCTGAGCGGCAACCGCAGCCCAACTCAACTCGCAGTCGACTCCAGCTCAATCTTCGTCTGACTGTCTGACAAATGTCGCCTGGAGATACAAGATTGGAGTTCGTGCTTGCATCTTCGTAGCCAAAATCCAACATCTTGCTGCACATGCTCCGCTAGGCAAGCGGGTGACCACAGACCTTGCTCCATCTCACTCGCTCCGTCTCTCTCTCCCTCTCTCTCTCTCTCTAAATCTGTGGCAAGTTATGCGTGGCATGCAGTCAAAAATAGTGTCTAAGAAAATATTATTGCTGACTGTGCGTCGACTGGATGAAATGCTCAAATAATTTGCTGTGCTGGGCAAGCACTGTGGACTGAGCCGCATATCAGTGGCCTGACAGCGCCTGCCAGGACAAATCCAGGACATGCCAGGATATGTGGGGCCATGACCGCAAATCAAACTCGTTGCAAAAGTTTTTGGGACTTGGGAGTCCCATGCGTTGGCAACATGTGATAAGTTTATTGTCTTGCCACATGACGCTCGCCCACTTACGCCCACTCCAAGGACTCTGAGCACAAAAAGGACACGCTACGAAAGTATCGCATTTCATAACAGAAATATGCTTTCTTGGTCTATAAATTAAGTTGTCTCGCCCACAAATATTAATTGCCTAATTAGCATATGCGTCTGACATGGACACAGGACACGGACACAGGACAGAGGACACAGGCAACAGGCAACAGGAAACAGGACGTGGGGCACGCAGCACCCTTTTATCCCCAATAATAAGAAGCACACATAAGAACCAGCTCACAATGGCCTCGGCTGAAGTTTTTCTTCAAGGCACAGCTTGCCGAATATCCTTTGGGCTCACATGTTGTCAAAGGACACGTGACTTTGTTTGGCTTGTGAATACACCTAGAAATGCAGAAATACACAAAAATGAACGAATCATTCATACTCGCAGCTGAAAAACTGTTGAGTTTTAGAGCTCGGGTTTGTTCAGGAGAGCGATACAGCTGATATAACTAACTTTCATGCAATACACGAGCATAGATGGAAATTTAATTTGAATATTAGATTAGATTATATATCATATAATGTATTCTTCATATTATTCTCATGAATGATTTATATACTCTCGACTCGTCCATGAATTTACCTTTCAAGTCATCTTTTCTTCTTTCAGCGCTTGGCTTGACAAGCTCGTCAGCTCGTGTGCATATCCTTTGCGTCCTGTTTATCCCTGCGTCCTGTGCGCCCTGCGCTTTGTTCTAATTAAAAAATACACATGCAGCCGTAAGAGGAATTCGCTGTCGTAATTGAGGGTTGATAGAAGTATGTATATATATGTATTTCCAAACCGTAATTGTTGTTGTTCTTGCCTTTGTTCTTGATGTGGGCTTTTTATTTACTTTTATTTGGGTTCCCTTTTCGATGCTGAAAATGTAGGTTATCGATTTTCGCTTATTTTTTGTCTTAAATTTATGTTTAATAAGCGAAATATTCGAGGCCTGTGCTTTAAGGTCGCTGCTCCAACTCACCTTAAATCAATTATTCTCAGTCCCAAGACTCGACTTATATCATAATAATCAGCTCGTAATGAGCCTTATTGTATGTATTTTTATTTTATTTTTTATTTTTATTTTTTTGTGGGTGGCGAAAACTTTGCCGACTTTTTCTGCTCAGCCGAAAAACTTTTTGTAAATGTTACACAAATATTTTTCCGCTGCGTATGAGGCGCT